GGGTCCCGAAGAAAATCATTATTATTTTTGGCTCACTCAGTACCAGAACAACGGTCCCAAGCAGTCCCAAGCTATTTCACTCACCCCTGCATGTTCTGCATGAATCCACACACCCCTGATGTTATCTGTCAAACTTTCATAGCGAATCAAAACAAACATAGTGTAGTAATAGAATTTCAACTAGAATAGGGTACGTTAATCGTTTGCTTGGGACCAATAGGCTACTAAAGTGGTGAGTCAATTTAAAATCGTTAGTTTCGTATTGATTGTTGCTCATACCTAGTAGTGCGCACCCCTTGCCGAGATCTCAGTTAAAAACATAAATTTTGCTGAATCTCAGTAAGTTTTTCACTGACATCCAGCAAAATAAAATGGCGAGCTGCTCGGTGGTGCCCATCTCGGCAAAAAAATCTAAGTGTGTGCTGCTACATTCACGGTTCCGGACTTTGTTTTTCTTCTTCTTCTTCTTTCTTTTATTGAACGTCGGTCTCTGTTCCGCAATCTAGTGCCAATCACCCGAGGGGGGCGATACATCTAAATCTCAAGTTTAGATGCTCAACAAATCTCACACTAGCGAATCAATGTTCGAAAAATCTTCTTTCATTTTGCAGGAAATCTTCAGAATCGTCATCAATCTTCTTTCTATTTACTCAGCGTGCGCGCAGCTAGCCACAGCAAAGCACAATCTTTTCTGCATCGTAGATAGAGTCGCCCCCCTCGCAATCACCGACGGACATCGATTGCCATCGATTGACGGCAATCGAATGTGCAGGAAGCGAGGGGGTGACTCTATTCAAGATGCAAGAAATTTTTTGCTTTGCTGTTGTGAGATGCACTTCCGCTCAGGGCCCCACAAAGTCACTTCCAATCGAAAATCTTCAGTGACGATGAAGCTCTCAACCATCACTTTCAATTGAAAGTCATTCTGTCTTCTCTTCGAGCAGATCCCCGTCAACATCAACAGAACCACTTTCGATCGGTTTTCATGCTGTTTGTTCTGGCTTGACTCGTGTTCATTTCTTCTTTCATTGTCAAATGAACTTACTTTTGCATTGAAGCAAAGCTATTTGATCCACAGTTTTTATGACTTTTGTTGATTGTTCACTCGGTTCATTTAAGCGTGTGCGCATTGATCTGTACACGTGGTTGTAAAATTTATCATTGTTGGGTGGTTTGTTTACCCATCAATATGGGTACTTTTTGAATCGGGGTGACGTCTAGAGATCGAAAATTGATATGCGACGCCATTTTTAAATCCAAGATGGCTGCTTCCAGCTTAAGAAAAAGTTAGAAATGCTGTCAAATACTTATCAATAAAGGTATTTTAGGAATCGGTATAATGTCTAGAGGATGAAAATCGTTATCCGACGCTATTTTGAAATCAAAGATGGCGGCTTCCGATTTACGAAAAAGTGGAAATACAGTCAAATACTCATCAATATTGGTATTTTTGTAATCGGTATGAAGTCTACAGATCGAAAATTGATATGCGACGCCAATTCGAGATCCAAGATGGCGGCTTCCGATTCCAGAACAAGTAGAAATATTGTCAAATACTTATCAATATAGGTATTTTTTGGAATCGCGATGTCTAGAAGCCGGAAATCGATATCCGACGCCATTTTGAAATCCAATATGACGGCTTCCTATTTCAGAAAAAAATGGGAAATGCTGATGCCGTCCCATCAATATGGGTATTTTTGAAATCAGGGTGACGTCTGGAGATTGGAAATCAATATCCGACGTCATTTTGTAATCCATCAAATACCCATACAAATGGTTTTTTGTTTAAGAATCCGGGTAACGTCTAGAAGCCGGGAATCGATATCCGACGTCATTTTGTAATCGAAACGGCGGCTTCCGATTTGCGGAAAAGTGTCAAATACCCTAAAATGTGGGTATTTTCAGGAGGGGGATGAGACATAGATGCCGAAAATTGATGTCACGCCGTCTTTTTTGGAATCGGGCTGACATCAAGAAACCTGAAATCGATGTGCGACGCCATCTTGAAATTCAATTTAAGAAGAAGTATCAAATAGCCTACAAATGACATCGAATATCGATTTTCAGCATCTACGCGTGGTCCCCGTTCAAAAAAAAAACCCAGAAAAATGGCATCGAATATCGATTTTTGGCATGTACACGTTGTCATCATTCCGAAAATACCCATATGGTAGGGTATTTGACACTTTCTGAACCCTGATGGCCGCCATATTGGATTCCAAAGTGGTATCTGATATCGATTTTTGGCATTTACGCGTTGTCTCTGTTCTGAAACTAACCATTTGTAGGGTATTTGCTTGGGTATTTGACACCTTTTCTGAAACCCTATGGACGCCATATTGGAGTCCAACATAGGATCGGATATCGATTTTCGGCAGCCACGCGTTGTCTCCGTTCCGAAAATACCCATATCTTAGGGTATTTGACACGTCTTAGGAAACTTGATGGCCGCCATTTTGGATTCCAAAATAACGTCGAATATCGATTTTCCGCACCTTCATGTCGTCTTCGTTCCGAAAATACCCATATTGTGGGGTATTTGAGGCTTTTCCTGACCCCGATGGCCGCCATCTTGGAGTCCAGAATGGCCTCGTTAATTTAATTTTCGTTCAATATAAAATAATATATTATTACTACACCTAATCTGGATGCCTTCTCTATCGGCAACCTATATTGTGCGGATACTATCCAGATACTATATTTTGATGCCTGCGTCGTCAGGTCGTGACAAGTCGAATGAGCCCCGAATTGAAGTGAAAGTGGAAAAAACGAAGGAAGCAGTTTTCGAGTCATTCATTGCGTCAATTGAAACAAGTCTTTGCTTCAAATGAAAGGAACTTAAGCACTCGACGAACGAAACAAGTGATAGTCCTGTCATGTTTGAAAAGAGGAATGTTCATCGTGACTCGATAACAAAAAACACGATGACTTACACGAAAATGATATTGCTCGAAATGAAGCGATTTTGCGGAGAGTTCATTTTCTTTTCTTTGTTTCGAAAATGCAGCGCTTAATAGATAGCAACACGATTGATTGTGATTTTGAAGATTTCCTGCAAAAAGGTGGAGAACGAAGCGAGTAGATGGGTTTAGATGCAAGAAATGAAAAAAGATTTTTCGTAGATTGATCCGCTAGTGTGAGATTTTTCGACCATTTAAAATCGAGATTTAGATGTGTCGCACCCCTCGGCAGGAAGGCAGCTTCCACACCTGCGTAGGATATCGCACCCATTCAGCACACATGGGCCGGGACCAACGGCTTTACCACCGACAAACCGACATGACATGACATGACTTCAAAAAGGGTATTTGACTGTTACCATGCAAGCGTAGGGTTTGTTTTCGTTTTGTTGTTTATTTTAACTTTAGAATGACAGTTCTTACAGCAAACAAAAAAAAATTCACAGCTAAAATTACGAACCCGCCTGGAGAGGACGTTTTTTTACAACAACAATCGAATGTAAACAATATTAGCAGTGGTGCCAGAATAGATTAAAATTTGCAATGTTGCAGAGTGACTTACCCCTGGATCTAGATCTAGACCTCCATTCCTCACCGAATACTTCCGAAATCCATCCATCAGCCGAAATTCGTTTGCCTTCGCAACCACTTCCGCCTTCAACTTGGAACACCCAAACTATCAACGTTAATACCAACAATCAATACGAAACTAACGATTTTAAATTGGCTCACTACTTGACTACACAATGTTTGTTTTGATTCGCTATGAAAGTTTGACAGATAAAATGAGGAGTTAGTGGATTTTCCTATGTTTCGAGAGGTGAATCGATTAGCTTGGGACCTAAGATAGTACCAGAGCTGAGCCAAAAAGTTGAACACGTTTCTTCGGGACCTACTAGTCTTATGGCGGTAAGCTCCAACTCGGATTAACTTTTAATACCGTCCCTCTTTGGATGATCTGCGAAGTGTTTGCATAGCATCGTGTTGAATAACTCTGATGTCGACATCAAAGCAGCCGGGCATTCTTGATTGGGATTTAATTCAAGGATAATACCGATTGGAGCTTACCGCCATTAGAATAACCTCTATGTTAATACCCTGTTCATATTACAGCGTATATCACGTAATATACGCTGTCTTGCAATAAGCACTCATACATCTAGTTTTCACTGGAAATTCTATGTATGAGTGCTCATTGCTAGACCATTGCATGTGAACGGGGTATAAAGCAATGTAATAAAAACGGTCTACAAACATAATTGACGACAAATAAACCATTAAACATTGAAATTGTCAATGTCCTCATCTGTTTGTTTTCCATTGTCTTGCTTCCTTTTTTAACTGTTAAATTCATCTCTATTGAAACCGAAAAATCCTATGGTTTCTTCCTCCATACGACATGAGAGGCAATGTGAATGTTTCTCCATCACTCCATCTTCTGTATTCCTTGATGTAGGCTGTGAACCATTTGTCGAGTTAAATTTACCTCGTGGTTTAAATTGACATTTCGAAAGTTATTTCTTATGTTCGAAAATCCCTGTGTTATCGATCGGTTTTCGAGCAGAACTCAGCCACGGTTGTCAAAATTTAACTTCTTGTATGTCAGATATAACCACGCTCGGATAGTAGAGTTAATCGATAACTTTCTATCTGTCAAATTCAAACCAAAAGTTAAAAAATCCGCCAAATGGTTCAGAGCCGTTAGTGGGGTACGGTAGTTGATTTGCTTGGGACCAATAGGCTAGTCAAGTAGTGAGCCAATTTAAAATCGTTAGTTTCGTATTGATTGTTGGTACCACTCAGGTTCTGTGTATTGTGTGAACCGACCTTGCTCAAACAATCATCGCACTGTTAAGGGAAAAATGTAAAGCAATTTTTTCATCAAACCCACCGTGGACCTAATCCCGTTCACCTTTTCGACCACTCTGGCAAAATCCACCCGGAAAATCAAAACAAGTCGAGCTTCCCCTCCGCCAAACGTCAAAAGCTGCTTGTCAGTGTGTGAGAGAGAAGCTGCCGATTTTCGCTTCGTCGCTTCGTGAAGCTCCAGTCAGCAAGCAGAAAAATGAAACCAGAAAAAGTCCAATGAAAATTCGTGAAAATCTTCGCTAAAATCGTGTTGAACAAAGTAAATTGTAGTTCCTTCCGTAGGGTAAGTAGCGGTGCTCATTTTAAAGGTGAATTCTCTGAAGGAAACGCTCATTCGGGTGCCTAAAGTGCGAAAACATCAGCGGGGGCAGAGACCCGTTCGATTCCAACATGTCTTCCTCCAGTGGTGTGTCATAACGGGAGTAGCCAGTCGATTTTCATGCGATTTTTCTGTCTTGTTTTTATCGGTGTTTCCAGGTACCTAGATATTAGTAATTTGTCCATGAGAAGGATGGCACCGGGATCGAACAACCAGAATAATAATAATAATAATAATAATCGACAGACGGGGACGCGGCCGAAAATCAAAGCCTCGAAGAAAAATTCCGTTCCCCGAGAGGTAGTCGCCCCGACCAGACGGGATCTCCAGCAGCAGCTCAATGTGAGTATGCGGTGCGAGATTGGATTGTGTGCGTGCTCGTGTGCGGTAAGAGGTAATCTAGACTAACATCAGAAAAGGGCGGGATTCCAAAATCACCATTTCGTGAAAACCACTTCCGAATGTTGATGATCTAAAAAATAATCCCATTTCACGACTTGCTATTTTCTGAATGATTTCATTAGCTTGACATGATAATTTCTTACATGTTACGCCGTGGAAATACACCCTCGGGAGATTTTGTTTTTTGTTCCGCCTTGGTTCTTCCTTTGCAAATTTTGTGAGAGTGGAGATTTTTTACTCGTGAAATATCAATCGGATGCATTTCAAATAAATCGGGCGTGACTAGATACTACAAAATCGTACGTTTTGCAAATTAAAACAATATAATTCGTAGTTTTGGTACAAGGCGTAGCAACCAGATCCATCATTTAAAAGGAACCGTTTTTGATGATTTGAAATGATGTTTTCTGCTATATTTTTTTTTTCGTGTTAATTGAGTAGTTTGTGAACAGTTCGCTCTATATGTGGCAAAATATGGTTTGTTTACATTTTGGCTCTTTCGCCCCTTTCAAATGTTAGTCTAGAAATAGTGGGGGTAGTGGGAGCTTCAGAACAAACACCACCAGCGCAATGTTTATGTTTACGTTCCGAACGCGAAAAAGCCGACTCAAAACAAAACCGTCTGTTTCGCTTCGGGTTAGGTTTCATTGAATTTATTATCAAGAAAATCGAAATCATTATTAGTATTCTTTGAAAATGTTATTTGTTTTGAAAGTTGCTCACAATTGTGGAAAATTCTTCTATGTAATATGTAATTCTTCGAGAAATTTTACAAGAAAAAGATTACAGTTTTCTAAAAAAAAAACTGTTGTTTACTATTACCTATCATTTTTGTTATTGGCATTACATTAATACCATCGACCGGTAGCGATCGTTTGAAGCGCTCGTGCTTCATCCGATCGGATCGCTAGTGTTTTATAATTAGACTTTTTCGGTTCGGTGTCGTCAGCTTTTCGGCGCATATGCTTGATACTAGGTGAATGTGAATGAAGACGATTTCCTCGCAGTTCGTAGAGGAAAATCCGTTCGCAGTTTTGAACGAAGATTTTCCTCGGATCGGTCGTATTCTTTTTCGCGCTGCGTAGAACGCCCAGAAGCACCCGCACTGCGCACACATTTTTCTCACATCTGTGCATCGTTCGGTCTGTATGAACTGTATCGATTGGTTCGTGCTAATCGCGATCGTGTGCTATCTGTTCAAGGTTCTCGTCGATTGGGCAACGGTTTCCGGCGCGGCCGCTGCAGTTGTCAATAACCAGCACCAGCAAGGTCACTCGCAGCTGCAACAGCAGCACTCTAATCCGAATCAGCAATCGTCGTCGTCGTCAGGTGTGGGAGCCAGCAGCAGCCATCAGCAGAACTTTCTACTGAAGCCGAGAAACAACCGAACACCGGGCGAAGGAACGTGTTACGAAATTGGTGAGTCGAAAATTTACTTCTGTTCTTTTGCGCGGAGGAAAGGAGGGTTAAATTTCACCTGCGACGAGCAGAAGTAGGACAAACCCACAGCACAGATTGATGGCATTAACGTCATCGTTTTGCAAAACTACTGCCTATATTCCCACGCGTTAGTGAGTACATGTGCATAATTTTAGAACTCGAGTGGGTGATTGATAGAATGGATGCGAAGAATTTCGATTCAGTTTCTTGGTTCTCAAGCAGTGAACTTTGCGTGTAGCTACTTCAAAAGCGAGATGGATTTGAGGCACATGGATGAATGTGTATTTTGGGTTGACTTGACCTTGGAGGTAGTGAAAAATGTGGATACGAAATAGAATTAAAAGCCGACGTCTACTAGAGAGAGTTTACTCAACTGAATGCCGCAGATTTTTTGTCATTTACGTTTATTGTTGTTTAATAATGCTGCATGTGACTGATTTTTTTTTCTGAAGTGCTGCTGGACCTCCTTCTGATTGTTTGTCCGATTGATCAATTGAGAATTGTCCGATGACAATAGATTTAGCTGTCAGTTTGCCGCAATGCGTCAGATCCGGATCTAATGTGGGTGGACCTTAAGAGATGGAAGAAAGTTTAAGCGTCTTCTAGACCGGATGCTGCACGAATTTTAATATGAAGTTCAAAGGGTTTCCACGAAAAGTCGCCAATGAGATCAACCCAAATTTGAGTTCAGTTTACTCATAATCGCAAAAAGTGCAGGAATTCAGCGATGAGTAAATTTGCCTCAGATTTTTAGAAAAATCGGTTAGCTTGTTTAGAATTAAAATCCATCCGCTATTGACAGAGTTATAAGTGGTCAAAATTTGACCACTTTTCGTAACGCATTCGATTTTGGTTTTTCGAAATTGCTCCTCCAATATGTGCCGAAAGACGAAATCGTACGTTAACAATCAGTATCGTCACCTCTTGCTTCTTGATGTTCCTTCCGATTTGCTTTTGAGTTCCCTTAAATACTATTCTCAATCCCCATAATAGTCTCTTTTGGGGCCTCCTTTAGCTCAGTCGGAAAGGCGCAGCTACAAAGCAAGACCATGCTGGAGGTGGCTGGGTTCGATTCCCGGTCCGGTCTAGGAATTTTTCGTGTTGGAAAATGTCTCGACTTCCCTGGGCATAGAGTATGATTGTACTTGCCACACAATTATACGAATGCAAAAATGGTACAGGCATCGAAAGCTCTCAATTAATAACTGTGGAAATGCATCTAGATAGAACACTAAGTTGAAAGCACGCAATAAGCTAATATGCGATATGCAATAAGCTTGCAATGCGAAAAAGAAGAAGAAGAAGACGTTTAGAGTAAATTGTTTTAAGCTAGGGCAAGTCAATTGATCAAGTCAGTTGAATTCAACTGACTTGAACGCGAATTGAACGTGTAAACCATACCATTCAACTGACTTGATCAACTCACTTGAATTGAAAAAAGTTGAACCAGGCTCAACTTTTCAAGTCAATTGAATTCAACTGAGTTGATCAATTGACTTGCCCTGTCTAAACCCGGCTTTAGAGTACATCAACCAACCACTCCCTCGCTCAAGTGAATTCCCGCGCATTATGTACCTTTGTTTAGTCAGTTGCAAATAAAAACCCAAACAAGATACAACGCAAAATAGTTCGTCGCGAATTTATTTCCGAAAACTAAACTGAAAATTCCGCTTGATACAACAACATTTTATGGTCCTTCGGTTCCGGATGTCACGATTAACGGTTGACTATGGAAGAACTGATGATCAAGCGGAACTCGCTCTTCGAGAAGATGAAGTGGGAGCTAAATACGGCGAAACGCGTCCAGAGCCGGAGCCATCCACTTTGTGAGGTTAGGGAACGCGTCGATCGGCTGCACCACCTCGGAAACAATTTTTTCGACTTGCAGAGTGAAATCGAAGACAAAACGCCGTCATTGGAAGCAGTTTCATCGGTTTTCAACTACCGGACTGAGTTTGAGGAGTTATATTATGAAGCCAAATGTATCTACTCGCAGATGGAGGAAGGGTCTGTTGGTGGTGATGACACGTTTGAGGAACCAACCAACAATCTACGGCATGCAGTTTCGGCACTGCTGGAAACGCAACGGATGCTCCTGTCGAACCAAGCTGCAGTTTCAAGCCAAACGAGTGCGTTAACTGCCCAGCTAGGGGACTTTCGACAAGCATCACTTCGTGCCACTGCAGCTGAACCAATGCTCAACGTACGACTCCCTCCAATCAACATTCCTATCTTCAATGGTGACCGCAAGGACTGGCGCGCTTTCAAGGACCTTTTTGTTAGTACCATTCACGACAAGGAGACGTTGCGTGACTCACAAAAGCTGCAGTATCTCCTTTCATACCTTGACGGTGAAGCTAAGGCATTGGTGAGCTCGTTTGCGATCACGGATGCGAATTACAACCAAGTGTGGGACAAGTTAGTGGAACGATATGATCAACATAAGTACACCGTTTTCTCGCTAGTGAAGGAATTCCTTGAACAGCCAGTCGTGTCATTTACGCACCCGAGCAGCCTTCGGAAACTAGTAACGACATCCGACGAAGGTATTAGACAACTGAGTGCCATGGGTGCCCAGTACGAATCGCGTGACCCGTGGCTCATTCACCTCCTTTTGGAAAAAAAAATCGACAAGGAAACACGTTATCAGTGGGATACAAAAATCGTCGATATGCAGAATCCTACGTTTCAAGAGTTCCTGAAATTCCTCGAAAACCGTTGTGATGCCCTCGAGACATGTTCCTCGTTCACGCGGAAGATCTTTACGAATCCGGAAGCTACGAAAAAGGAAATTCGGAAGGATCAAGCGAAGCCGATAGAGAGGAAGTTTCAAAGCTTTCACATCGCACCCCAGCTGTGCCCGAAGTGCTCTTCAGAACAGCATCAGATCTATCAGTGTGACTCCTTCAAAGCCTTAAGCGTCGCTGACCGTAGGGAGTTAGTGCAGAAGTCAAGACTGTGCTTCAACTGCCTCAGGCCGTCGCACTCAGTGAAGAATTGTTCATCGAAGTCTTCGTGTAGGGTCAATGGTTGCAATCAGCGACATCACACGCTCCTCTGTCAACAGGGTGACAGCCAGGCAGCGCATTTAGTGCAAGCACCGTCAATTCAATCGGCATACAGCTCACCGGCCTCAGAGCCAGCGGTTCGCTCAACGAATGAGGTCTCGAGCTTCAAAGCGGATGTACTTCCAACACAGCCGCCTACCAATATTGCGGTGCTACCTACGGCACTCATTAAGATTCGAGGTAAGAGTGGTTCTTTTCAGATAGTGAGAGCCATGATCGATTCCTGCTCCGGCGCGTCGCTGATCAGTGAAGCTTGTATGACGCGTCTCGGTCTCAACCGAAGCAATGCCAGGTTCGCTGTCACTGGGGTGGCAGGCGCCGCAGCTGGTACTACCAAGGGGATAGTACATGTGGAACTGTCATCTCGATTCAACGATGAAGTAATCCTGACTACTCAAGCATACGTTCTGGATGTTTTGACTACAACTATGCCAAGTCAGACTTTCGACGTAAAGCGAATGATGTTCTTGGAAGCGATCCCGTTAGCTGATCCAAACTTTTGGAAACCAGGAGAAATCGACGTCATTCTCGGAGTAGAGTTGTTCCTACCTATGCTCCGAATGGGTCAAATTACCGATAAAGATGGATTGCCAGTAGCACAGAACTCGGTGTTTGGCTGGCTGGTAGCTGGACGATTCGAAGGAGGGGCTTGTATTCAAACACATTGTACGTCCCTCAATGTCGACTCCGATGTCAACATCGACAAATCGCTGCGAATGTTTTGGGAGAGTGAAGAAGTTCTGTCGCAGAAAGTGCTCACAGCTGATGAGATCCGTGCTAGTGAGATTTTCAAAACGACTAACAAGCGAGATGAAACTGGCAGATTTGTGGTTCGGCTACCATTTGACGAAACGAAAACTGCGCTAGGAGAATCGCTAGTGGCAGCCGTCAGAGGTTGCATGCCATGGAGCGAAATTTTTTGGTGAATCCGACGTTTAAGCAGCAGTACGAACACTTTATGTCGGAGTATTTGCGTTTGGGCCACATGGAACCTGTCCCGGACGAGGAAATCGACAAGCAGCCGAACGAATGTTTCTATTTACCGCATCACGCTGTGCACAATGAAGATAGCTCAACGACTAAGTTACGTGTCGTTTTTGACGGTTCATGTGTTAGTTCATCGGGAATCTCGCTCAACGATCGATTGCTTATTGGACCTAATAACACTCAAAACTTGCTGGATGTATTGTCTCGCTTTCGTAGTTATCCAGTAGTGTTCACAAGCGATGCAGAGAAGATGTATAGACAAGTATGGGTAGCTGAGGATCAAGTGGACTACCTTCGAGTGGTGTTTAGGAAGAATCCCGAAGATCCCATCCAACGCTTTCGCCTGCTTACCGTTACGTACGGGACATCATGTGCTGCATATCTAGCTACAGAATCTCTTCGACAAGCCGCTCGAGATAGTGCTGAAAATTTCCCGGTTGCTGCTGAAAGAATCCTCAAAGGATTTTATGTAGATGATTTGATGTCTGGCGCTGACACACTAGAAGAAGCGAAACAACTAGTCACCGAAATCTCAACAATTCTAAGCCATGCTGGATTTGTCCTTAGGAAATGGTCGTCGAATTTACCAGAACTCGTCGAGGACATTGCAGATAGTAGACATGGCCCAATTCCTTTGCAGTTTACAAATGACTCGGATTCTGTTAAAGCCTTGGGTATACGTTGGTCGCCCAGAGAAGACTCGTTCGACTTCAAGGTGTATCTAAACATCGATAGCAGCAACACCAAACGTCAGCTTCTGTCGGTTGCATCGAAGCTGTTCGATCCTTTTGGGTGGCTTTCACCGTGCATCGTCAAAATCAAGATCCTGTTCCAGCAGCTCTGGTTGTACGACTTGACCTGGGATGACTTACTTCCCGCAGCAATTGAGGAAGAGTGGGTTGGCGTTAAAAACAATCTTCACCTCTTGGAAAAGGTCCGTATACCACGTTGGATTGTTAATCACGAAGGAAGAATGCAGCTTGTTGGGTTCTCAGACGCATCAGAGTCCGCATATGCCGCAGTAGTCTATGGCCGCTCGATTGATCCGAACGGTGAAGTACGAGTTACACTAATCGCCGCTAAAACCAAGGTAGCACCTATCAAGCAAATTACATTACCACGCCTCCAATTGAATGCTGCTCTGCTCCTGACGACGCTGATGAAGAAGATCTCTTCTGCTCTCGATCACCTCAATCTGCAGATGCATGCTTGGTCGGACTCAACAATAGTTCTAGAATGGTTATCATCGCACCCACGAAAGTGGAAAACATATGTTGCCAATCGCACTGCAACCATCCTGAATGTACTTCCAAGAAGCTCATGGCATCATGTAGCTTCCGGAGAAAACCCAGCGGACTGTGCGTCAAGAGGAATAACGCCATCTGAACTCTTGGAGCACCCACTTTGGTGGACAGGACCTTCCTGGCTTTACAAGCAAGATGAATTCCTAGATCACCTAGTCGCACAACCTGCAATATGTGAAGCAAACCATCAAGTCACGATTTTAAATACCAATATTGTCCCAAGGAGTGATTTCACCATAGAACAGTATCTTTTGAATCGCTACTCTTCGATTCGAGTAGTATGTCGAATTCTCGCGGTTATCAACCGATTCATTTGTAACCTCAAATCTGTTCGTAGAGAAGACCGAAAAGTGGGAACAATAACTCCAACAGAACAACAAGCGTCTACCCTACAGCTAATACACATGGCTCAAAACGACGCATTCATCACCGAACTGACATGTCTCCACAAAGGAACCAACCTGCCCAGTAAAAGCAAATTACGCTCGCTACATCCTTTCATCGATGGAGAAGGAACACTTCGTGTAGGAGGAAGACTCCAGAACGCCAATATCCCCTACGAAATGAAGCACCCAGCAATTCTACCAAGTCACCATCGTTTCACGGAGCTGATTATTCAAGACACACACCTTGTCAATCTACATGCAGGACCCACATTGTTGCTAGCTACACTCAATCAACGATTTTGGATAATTGGATGCCAGAACATGATTCGTCGTGCAGTACAGAACTGCCTCCGCTGCTGTCGTATGAAAGCGAAGACTGCCACTCAACTTATGGGTTGCTTGCCAGCCGTTCGCACCATGCCAGTGCGAGCTTTCATCCACGTTGGGATTGATTATGCCGGTCCAATCATCCTCAAAAGCGGTAATCCTCGTAAACCTCTCCTAACCAAGGGTTACATAGTTGTGTTCGTGTGCCTTTCCACTAAAGCTATTCATCTAGAGGCTGCCAGTGATTTGTCGTTCGCAGTATTCATCGAAGCGCTCAAGAGGTTCATCGCTCGTCGTGGTTTATGTACAGAGATTTGGTATGACAATGGGACAAATTTCATCGGTGCTGATCGCCAGATGCAGGAGTTTTTCCAATCCGATGAATTTAGAGCTCAAGCAAGCCGCTTTTCTTCGAATGTAGGCATCAAGTGGACATTCATACCACCATCCGCACCCCACATGGGTGGTTTGTGGGAGGTGGCAGTGAAGAGTGTCAAAACGCACTTATACAAGGTGCTCAGTCGTGGACCGCAAACCTTCGAAAATCTGTATACTATTCTCACCCAAGTAGAAGCCTGCCTTAATTCAAGACCGTTGTGTGCCATATCCAATTCAGCGGACGACTACAATGTTTTGACTCCAGGGCATTTCATCATTGGGCAGCCGATGAATCTGCTGCCAGAACCATCAGTCCCAAACGTACCCGTTAATCGACTCGACTCTTGGCAGATATGTCAGAAGCAGCTAGAAGAAATTTGGCAGCGCTGGAGAAATGAATACGTTTCATCTTTGCAACCACGAACCAAGTGGCAATCTATGGAGGATAACCTGCAGATCAACAGACTTGTTCTAGTAAAAAATGAGAACACTCCACCAGCACAGTGGGAGCTTGCCCGGATTATCGCGGTCCATCCGGATCGTCAAGGTGTTGTGAGGACTGTCACACTTCGCAGAGGATCATCTGAATACCAACGACCGATCCACAAGTTGGTACCGCTGCCGACAGCTTAAGATATTGAGGCTCCTGCCTCAAGTTGGGGAGTTGTTTAGAGTGAATTGTTTTAGAGTACATCAACCAACCACTCCCTCGCTCAAGTGAATTCCCGCGCATTATGTACCTTTGTTTAGTCAGTTGCAAATAAAAACCCAAACAAGATACAACGCAAAATAGTTCGTCGCGAATTTATTTCCGAAAACTAAACTGAAAATTCCGCTTGATACAACAACAGAAGATAATAGTCTCTTCAAAACTATCTTAAAATTCATCATTTTTCAAAATTAAAGAATCCAATTCTCATCAAAACTCATTTGGCATTCCAACATAATTCTCTTGTCAATGCTTCGGAGTGTCAGAATCCTTGTCCAAGTCCAAGAGTCATGATTTTTTAATCTGCGGAAAGTACGTTAAATACGTCAAATTTTATTCCGCGGATCTCATTGTTTAATAACAACTACAAGGTACAGCCCTATGGGGTTGTACGCAATGGTGACGTAGGACTGCGTGGTCTTATATAATAAATCTTATTTGTTAACTGCAGTAGGAGCTTGTGTTTTGTGTATGAATAGGAATTTTAGCGGGATTCTCTCTGTTTATACTCTTTAGTATAACAAGATGGCCCACAGCAACTCACGAAGAGCAACTGATTCCGATCAATAGCGGTGCGGTTTCTTCCTCCTTCTATGCATGCCCATGTGGGCTGCAGCTCGCTGCTTTCAGGCAGCCTTTTGTTGTGTACTGGAGAACACCACCGCTCAAAACGCGGGGATAGAATAAACACCATTTGGTGAGACCGAATGGAATTCAACTTTGAAATCTGTGTTAGGGAAATCGCTTTTCGCAGGCAATCGGTGATAATTTTAACTATCATAGCAACAGTTCCACATGTGTTAAATTTTCAATAGTGACATGACAAAGTCTTAAATTTTAGAAATATTTCTGATCGATTGGTGTAACTTTAGAGATATTTAAGAATTTTTAAAATTTCGTACTTATCTAAATTATGTTAATTATGAAACCTTGAAAATTTACAAAATTGTCGGTCCTTGGTTTTCTGGATTAAAAAAAAATGTCGCATTTTTTTTCAATTATGTCGATATTCCGTTTTTCACCATGTTAGCTGTTTATATGAAACCGGGAAAATCCCGGGAATTTAAGTTCTTAAATTCAGTTGCCACCCTGATTAGAATTCGTCTCAATTTTCTCTTGGAACATTCTTATGAATCTTCCGGAAATGCTACTCAAAATTCTTTGCTCAAAAATCCATTTGAATTGCTCTCGATTTCCCTGGAATTCTCCTCACAATTCTCGTAACAGTAATGAAAACCATAAAACAAAAACAAATATAATCAATGGTTTTCATTACAAAATCCATATTTTTAATATCACTATATGTTTCCTTAAAAGCATTTTTAATTACCTTTTATTTGATATTTTGATCTTTGTTCAAAACATAAACATTTTTGCCGTTAAAACGACCGGTTTTGTTTGTTTACTGAGCAGTAGATCGTGGGTTCAATTTCAGGGTTGTTCAACATTGAATGTCGTCACCGTCGCCGGTTTGAATGATTTAACAACAACTCAAGACTCAATCATCAGAGGTGCTCGGTGGCCAAAGGGTGACCGATTTTTTTTACTGAGCAGAAGATCATGGGTTCAATCTCATGTTCCTTAACTCTCTCCACAGGGGACCCACATCTTTTTGGTCCTTCTCATGATTGTCAGTCCAGCATTAAATTGCCTTAATTCAAGCTTCCATTGTGAATCCTGATCCGCTACTTTTTCCACTAACATAAATTTCTTGGAAGCAGAGGTTTTCTCGGTCTACAAAAGCTACGTCTATCCTTCCCTACTTCGATGGCCGTAAGCACGTGACTGGCGCCGTTAATGATACAGATACTATACAGAATTTGCACACTAAGAATGGATTGCTTATCTCAAATCCACCCATACAATCCAATAAATGCTCGCTCATGCTGTTGCTCTTCCAGGGAAAGTTCAGATGACCTCCAGAGAACCTAAGAGTGTTTGAAGGAAATATTCATGATTTACTAAAAAATCACTGCCGTCGTACTGTCTAAATTGTCTTGTAGACATGGACCGGTTCAGTTTCGATTAAAATTTTATGTCTTGATCTCGGTATTTGGTATTTGCGCTGACTAAAGTTCCGGTTTTTAATTTCAGACAACCTCGCGCTGCAGGACAACAGCCGCTACATCCCGGTGCGTCCGATCGTCCGCCGAAATCTCCTGAGCGAAAGCAGTGGTGCCGAACAGGGTGAACCGCACAACACCGCCGTGGGAGTGGTCATTCCCACCACACCGAACTCCGCCCTTCACACGTTCCGTTTGAACGATACCGGCACAAGCGGAGCTGGATCATCGTCAAACATTAACAACCTACTGAACAACTCCATCAGTCAGAAGCACATTCTGAATCCATTTCATCCGCAGCATCAACAACCTCCGCCAATTCCAAATCTGCGAGCTTCGCCGTTAAGCTCCCGAGTTCCGGACGGTGCTTCCCAGAATCAGTTGAATCTGAACAAGAATTCCAACCAACAACAGCAGCAACAACAACAGCAGCAGCAGCAACAGCAACAACAACAGCAACAACAACAACAACAACAACACCAGCAACTGCTACAGGGTGGTGGTGCCGTAGGCGGAGCTAACCATTCGAAAGCGAACGTCGAGGATAAGCTTCATCAGATTCAGGAGTACATCAAGCTGACCACCAATTTGATCTCATCGGTGCAGCTGGATAACGTGAGTGTTGAGAGTTGTTTGCGTGTGGCATTCAAGATTAAAGAGCGATTGAGGTTTTCCACAGAAGAATAAGAAGGAATCGCAGGCAGAGGGCAACGGCTTTCCGAAGATGGGTGACGAAAGTTGCTATTTTGTGCCAATCAACTCCACTACCTTAGAGAGTGTACGGCAAAGCGATTCCGAGGTGCGTGTTTTGTTTTTCGGAATGTTGTGTTTGCGTCCCTACTAAAAAAACGAAATGCGGAATTAACGTAATATACCCTCGCATGATCCTTTTACTAATGAAGTTTACTGTTAACATTTCTCTTTAATCGCCAGGCAAGGCTGACACGAATCTTCGACTCTCCTGCCATTACCTTCACATTCCTCTGAAAGTGTCTGTACCTATTCTCTAGACGACGCTAATTTTGATTTTTAATTTTCCCAATCCGTATAGTTGAACGGTCCCCGGCCTCAGTCGGTGCAGAGCATCAGTACCACCCACTCGGCGACTCCGGTGCAAACGCCTTCGTACGACGATCTGCGCTACAAGATGGAAAGCCAGAGCAAGAGTATGCAAGCTTTGAAGGAACAGCAAGCCCATCTGCTACGCCTGCAGCAAGCAGCTCGACTTCAGCTGCAGGAGATGGAAATGATGCGTAGCCAGACCGCGGCCAATGCCATTCCGCTGGATAACTTTGAATCGGTGGATCAGGTTCAGGACGGTATCAGTGGCATTATGGAGCGGATGCGTGTCCTGGCGACGTTCATTCAGAACCAACAGGAACTAGGAAACATGCTCAGCGGAGACAACGACGATGTGCTGAACGAGCAGGTGATGCTACAGCAGAAGTTCCAGGAATTGCGTGACAAGAAAGCACAGATGCACAACTTGGTCGCGGAGTTGCAGAATATGAACGTAGATGCGAGTAGGCAGTTTGATGGAGCATCAACCACAGGGTCGATCGAACGAACCGTTCCGATCGAATTGACGCACGCTCCGGCACCGGCTGCCGATATGAGGAAAGCGACCAAGACCTTCAATCAGAACAACATCGATCATGGAATGATGAATGGTGGTGGTTCAGGATCTAGGGGTGGTTCGATTACGCCCAAGGCGGACAATGTAGCGGATGGGCGGGAGACTGAGCTGCACGAAGGAGAGGAGGAAGAAGAGGAAGATCCGGAAGCCATCACCGGAACGGCTGAGATGCTCAACGAGAAGATCAACGAGATCAATGCGATGAAGTCCCAGCTGAGACGGTTGAAGGAAATGATGGACACGGTTAAGCTTATCGAGATGAAGACTGGCGAGTCGATCGATGAAGAGGAGGATGCTCCGGAAGAGAACGATGAGAATCCGGATTCGGTTGAGAATTCTCGGTCTCCAAGTGTGGCAAGTCAGATCAGTGACCAAGGAGCAGCTGCTGGAGGACCTACAGATAAGAGACGAGAACAGTTGAATCAACGAGTCGAAGCGCTGCATGCTATGACTCGGGATCTTCGTGAACAGGCAAAATCGATTGCTGCGGAACGGGATGCTCTAAAGAATGCTCATACCGAAATTCAGAAGCGTCGTAACAATGTTACCGAGCTGCAGCAACAAGCCGAGGCTCAAACCGCTGAAAAGTTGACCAATCATGTGGCTTCGTTTGTATCCTCCATTCCGACGGGTCCGAAAGAGCGCCAACAGTTGGCTCTGAAAGCCGAACTCGAGCAGAAAAAACGCGAATTGGACCGGATCGCCAACATGACTCAAAACATCAAAAAGAACACTGAACTGTCTCGTCAGAATACGGAAGTGGCTCCGCCTAAAGTTTCCTCCGTATCGTCAGCAGAGTCTCTCCGATCTCAAAGTAATCCACCGGTGATTCCTCCTCCACCGGTGCCATCGGCGGTGAACAATACGACCGGTAGCAATGTGACCAATCATTCGAAGAACTCGGTAGATTCTGGCGTAACGGACATCTTTGCCAACGCTCACCTTGAATCCGGAAGCTATCAATCCAGTAGCACGCGTAGCTTGAACATGGTCCCACCCATGCCGGACATTTGCAACCGTGCCGAACGGTATCGCAAATCGGAGGATGTTGGAACTTCGACTGCTCGCACGGATCGGACTTCCCCGTGGCCAGCACATTTGTTCAGCGCAGCAGGTCCATCCAGTTCCAACACGGGACCGCAAAGTCCACATTTCCATCCGTTCGCCGGATCGGATATCCATGTAAGCTCTGCTTATCCAAACTACAACACATATCCGACATATTCGAACCTTCTGCCGCCGCATACACCGAACTCGGCTCCACCCCCACCGGATCCGCTGATGATCCAACACTTTATGCAGACCCAGCAGATGCTGATGAACTCCATTACCCAGTGTAACCAGCTGCTCTGGATTCAGCAACGGGAGATCAACAATCTTAACAATGCGGTGCTGTTGGTAAGTACTGAATTGGTAAATGTGCATTACAATCAGTTATTCTAATATGACTTGCTTTCTTTTACGCAGCTCCAAGAACGAATTCTCAACAACGCCAACAACAGTATTCTCATGAACGATGGTGGTCACGTTCCTGGGGCCGGTTCTCACATCCGTGCCGAGTCAACGCCTCCGAACAATTCTCTCAACTCTGCCCCAAGCATGACCGGATCCCTGTACGGACGCGCACGCTCCGAGCAACCAACTATGGCTCATCAGCAAGGACCAACCTCCCCGTACCACACGATCCCCCCAAACCTACATCAAGCCTCGTACGGTAGCCTTATTGGCACCAGTCATTTCCCTTCCTTTACCCCATCAACCTCCCAACATCAACAGCAACCGCATCAGCAATCCACCCAGCAATACTCCATCAATCAGCAAATCCAACGCAATAACACTAACATCTCAAATTCTAACGCTAACGCCGCTACCGCCAGCAGCAGCAGTAGCCACCGTAGCTATCGCAATCTCAGACATGTTAACATTAACACTGCTAACAATGCCATCTACGAGCAGCAGCTTCACCACCAGCTGTACGATCACCACGTACCGTTGCATTTGAACAACTTTATGAATCAGAACGGCACCGGTGGCAACGATGATTCGAATCTGCAAACACAGCAGCAGCAGCAGCAATCGTTCAACAATGTTTCCGTTAGTGGCGGTGGTAGTCTCGGCCCGTCGAATATGATCAATAATTTGGCTAATGGGCCGTCGACGGGAGGAATGGTTCCGCCACCACCGCCGCCACAGTCGGCAGCTTGCTTGAACAATTTGAACAACAGCAGCAATCTGAACAACAATTCCCAGCAGCAGACACAAGCGCTGAACAATCAGGTGCTGCCGGGGGTTCGTGCCAACAACTACTGGGACAACTTCCGAAGGTAATCGCCTCTTTCGTTTAGCCGAAGGCACAATGCTGGGAAACCCATTTCTCTAGTCACACACACACACAAGCATCATACATAAAATAATCAACTCTTTAGTGTCGTAGATGTAGTAGATAGGTAGCAGTAGTTTTCCTATCTTTCGATGATAGGTAATCATGTAAGTGTAAACAATAGTTAGGACGTAGTCCGTGGGGTGCACATTTTTTTTATTATTATTCTCTGGTTAGCGCTATGCATTTTCCATTCATACTCACGATCGTTGCCGCTTTCCTCTCCCGCTTTCTTACTCTACTACTATTGCTCTGTATGAAGTCTGTAGAAATATCTCGACATACTGGTACATCATGCTTTGAGTTTTACCAATGGTAAGTGTTGTAAGTGTTATTTGGACGGTAGTGTTGTGTTTGATCGACTTAACCGGAATGTTTTGGCATCAGTTTTCGTACTAATTTTCCCCTATAACCTCGGCTCTACCAGGTGTGATAACACATAACTGTTCAGGTTTGGTTTGCTCCAGCCGTCTCATTGTTGACTACTCTTCCCTTATCATACAGGCAACTAGCACAGTAAAAAATAGTTGGTAATATCTCATCGAAAATGATGCACTTCACCGATGTGGAAAAAGCTACAACGTGAACATTCAACGTAACTTTTGGATTGGTCGGTTTGAAATGAATGGTTTTGTTAGAGAATCCAGTACAATTTTAGAAATGTGTGCGTGTCGGGTTCTAACTTAGTGAGACATTAAAAGTACACTCTGAAAAATCATCACGTCCGATTTGCACGTAGCCGAGCAAAATTCAACTTCGATTATCCACGTGATTAGTCAGGTAAATAAGACCTGATTTCCACGTTTTGCTCACGTAAAAATCGGGGTGAAAACTACTGGAAAACAGGTAACGTTTAGTGATTTTCCATTTAGTTTAAAATGCGTTTCACGTAATTTGTACGGGAAATTTGAATGAGAATTATTAGAAGCAGTCAATATTATCGAAGACTACAAATCAAGAAGACTGGCAACTCTGCCAAAAAGCAGGAGACAGTAACGGCAACGCCTCTTCTGAGCAAAAGTGGAACCTGTGTTTGATGCTGTGTGTAGCTGTTGCCGAATGAAGGTAATGATGCCATTCACATGGTGGAATGGTGGAACCTTCCTCGATCATTAATTTGCTATCTCAGAAATATCTTCCACTTTTCCTAAGCCCTTTTAGTGATGCATTTATGGGCATTCGTATGGTGCATTAGTAAAATGCATGCGCGTTCCGCACGGCTTTACCACCCGGCCACAGCGGCGGAGTTAAGTTAATTAATTAATTTATCTTTATTAGGGAGGCTTTCAGCCTGGGGCTGGTTCGCCTCCATCAGAGCGGAGTTAAGTTGTGACGCTCGGCAACTTGGCACAGTACTCGCTGACCATTTTAATGTCTTACTTACTTACTTACTTACTTATCCTGGTCCGACATCCCTCAATATTGCACCTGAATCACAATGTTGCGCCAATTCACTCGGTCCGTGGCTGCTTGTCTCCAATTTCTTGACCGTCCCACACTTCCAAGATCCTGCTCCACTTGGTCTAACCACCTTGCTCGCTGTGCTCCTCTTCGTCTTGTACCGGTCTTATCAGCGTCTTGTACATGGTACATTTAGTACGGAGGTGAAGTTTAGCCGACCTCAGGGTCTTGTGGAGTCCGTAGTAAGCACGACTTCCGGCAATAATACGCCGACGAATTTATCTGCTGCAGTTGTTATCCGACGTCACCAAAGATCCGAGGTACACATATTCATCCATCACCCCGAACTTATCCCCGTTGATTGTCACGCTTCTGTCTATGCGAGCCTTATCCCGCTCGGTTCCTCCAGCTAACAGATACTTTGTCTTCGACGTATTCACCTTTAATCCAACCATCTCTGCTTCACGTTTCAGCCTGGTGTACTGCTCCGCCACGGCCTGAAACGTTCTTCCGACAATGTCCACGTCGTCAGCGAAGCAGATGAACTGGCTGCACTTATTGAAGATCGTTCCCCGCATGTTAAAGCCCGCACGTTTCATAACACCTTCTAGCGCAATGTTGAACATGAGGCAGGAAAGACCACCGCCTTGTCGAAGTCCTTTGCGAGTTTCAAACGAGTCCGATAACGCTCCCGATATCTTCACGCAGCACTGTACACCATCCATCGTAGCCCTGATCAGTCTGGTCAGCTTCCCGGGAAAACTGTTCTCGTCCATAATCTTCCATAGCTCTTCACGGTCAATAGTATCATAGGCGGCCTTGAAATCGATGAATAGGTGGTGCGTAGGGACTTGATATTCACGACACTTTTGGAGGATCTGTTGAGAATAGTGATCGCTCGATAGTTTTCACATTCTAGCTTGTCGCCTTTTTATATATTGGGCATATAACTCTCTCCTTCCACTCCATTTTAATAAGTTCCGCTCCGATACCATCTTTCCCAGCTGCTATGTTGTTCTTAAGCTGTCGGATAGCATCCTTCACTTCAACTATCGTGGGTGCTGGCATGTCCCCTTCATCCGCTGTACCGACGAAGCCATTCCTCCTTCTGTCTTGGTCCTCTGCCTCTGCGCCATACAGATGTTTATCGTAGTGCTGCTTCCACTTTGCAATCACCTCACGTTAGTCGGTCAAAATTCTGTTTGTATCGCTCCACATTTTGCCGGGCTCCTTGGTGCAGCATCCTCGCCCGCACTGCGTTCTTCTCTTCCAAAACCGTCTGACACTCCTCGTCGAACCAATCGTTCCGACGATTTCGCTCCACAAACCCAATGGCACCTTCACGTTGTTCCAGGTGGACCTTCCAAACCTTTAAATCGATTTATCTCCGTAAATATGGCTCTAATCGCGAAAAGAGGGGTGTTCAGATGCTCGAAATTTTCATACCTGGATTTTCCAGTATATAATATCCCAAAGACTTTTATTTGTCGGCTGGTGGACCTTCCAAACCTTTAAATCGATTTATCTCCGTAAATATGGCTCTAATCGCGAAAAGAGGGGTGTTCAAATGCTCGGAATTTTCATACCTGGATTGTCCAGTATATAATATTCCAAAATCTTTTATTTATCGGCTGGTGGACTTTCCAAACCTTTAAATCGATTTATCTCCGTAAATATGGCTCTAATCGCGAAAAGAGGGGTGTTCAAATGCTCGAAATTTTCATACCTGGATTTTCCAGTATATAATATTCCAAAATCTTTTATTTGTCGGCTGGTGGACTTTCCAAACCTTTAAATCGATTTATCTCCGTAAATATGGCTCTAATCGCGAAAAGAGGGGTGTTCAAATGCTCGAAATTTTCATACCTGGATTTTCCAGTATATAATATTCCAAAATCTTTTATCTGTCGGCTGGTGGACTTTCCAAACCTTTAAATCGATTTATCTCCGTAAATATGGCTCTAATCGCGAAAAGAGGGGTGTTCAAATGCTCGAAATTTTCATACCTGGATTTTCCAGTATATAATATTCCAAAATCTTTTATCTGTCGGCTGGTGGACTTTCCAAACCTTTAAATCGATTTATCTCCGTAAATATGGCTCTAATCGCGAAAAGAGGGGTGTTCAAATGCTCGAAATTTTCATACCTGGATTTTCCAGTATATAATATTCCAAAATCTTTTATCTGTCGGCTGGTGGACTTTCCAAACCTTTAAATCGATTTATCTCCGTAAATATGGCTCTAATCGCGAAAAGAGGGGTGTTCAAATGCTCGAAATTTTCATACCTGGATTTTCCAGTATATAATATTCCAAAATCTTTTATCTGTCGGCTGGTGGACTTTCCAAACCTTTAAATCGATTTATCTCCGTAAATATGGCTCTAATCGCGAAAAGAGGGGTGTTCAAATGCTCGAAATTTTCATACCTGGATTTTCCAGTATATAATATTCCAAAATCTTTTATCTGTCGGCTGGTGGACTTTCCAAACCTTTAAATCGATTTATCTCCGTAAATATGGCTCTAATCGCGAAAAGAGGGGTGTTCAAATGCTCGAAATTTCCATACCTGGATTTTCCAGTATATAATATTCCAAAATCTTTTATCTGTCGGCTGGTGGACTTTCCAAACCTTTAAATCGATTTATCTCCGTAAATATGGCTCTAATCGCGAAAAGAGGGGTGTTCAAATGCTCGAAATTTTCATACCTGGATTTTCCAGTATATAATATTCCAAAATCTTTTATCTGTCGGCTGGTGGACTTTCCAAACCTTTAAATCGATTTATCTCCGTAAATATGGCTCTAATCGCGAAAAGAGGGGTGTTCAAATGCTCGAAATTTCCATACCTGGATTTTCCAGTATATAATATTCCAAAATCTTTTATCTGTCGGCTGGTGGACTTTCCAAACCTTTAAATCGATTTATCTCCGTAAATATGGCTCTAATCGCGAAAAGAGGGGTGTTCAAATGCTCGAAATTTCCATACCTGGATTTTCCAGTATATAATATTCCAAAATCTTTTATCTGTCGGCTGGTGGACTTTCCAAACCTTTAAATCGATTTATCTCCGTAAATATGGCTCTAATCGCGAAAAGAGGGGTGTTCAAATGCTCGAAATTTTCATACCTGGATTTTCCAGTATATAATATTCCAAAATCTTTTATCTGTCGGCTGGTGGACCTTCCAAACCTTTAAATCGATTTATCTCCGTAAATATGGCTCTAATCGCAAAAAGAGGGGTTTTCAGATGCTCGAAATTTTCATACCTGGATTTTCCAGTATATAATATCCCAAAGACTTTTATTTGTCGGCTGGTGGACCTTCCAAACCTTTAAATCGATTTATCTCCGTAAATATGGCTCTAATCGCGAAAAGAGGGGTGTTCAGATGCTCGAAATTTTCATACCTGGATTTTCCAGTATATAATATTCCAAAATCTTTTATCTGTCGGCTGGTGGACTTTCCAAACCTTTAAATCGATTTATCTCCGTAAATATGGCTCTAATCGCGAAAAGAGGGGTGTTCAGATGCTCGAAATTTTCA